CCCGGTCGAAATAGATGATCTGAAATCCCCAAAATATCCAAAGCAATCCTAAGCTCCAGCCAATTTTTTAGCCTTGAGACGAGCACTCCGTCGAGGTAGCAATCTTGAACTGGCTGAGTCCCATTCAGTGTCAGCAACCCGGTCTAGTAGCTCACGATCAGAAAGTACCCTTTGAATAGGTGTAACTTCAAGATCGTTTCCACCCGAAGCAATCGGTTCCAAAATTGCAGTTTGAAGAGAAACCACTTCATCTGCTAAAAGAGGTTCAGTGAAAGAAACTTGGAGAGGAGTAGTTTCAAGGATATCTGCCTCATCTATCTCTTTTGATTCAAAAGTAAATGCCCCCTGTGAAGTATTTTGAATCACAACAGCACCCCTTGAAGTGTTATCCGAGCACTGAAAATCCTCAACAGAAACCAAATCTAAGGCATAATCTATTAATTGATCAATATCAGCTTGTATTAAGACACTTGAAATGGAAGATGTAAATTCACCAAAATAAGGAAAAGCCCGATCCAAGTTCAGAAGCTCCAATTCGAAGTTGCTACTCATTTTAACTGAAAAGTCATCCCTAGTAGCATGATCAATCTCCATTGATCTTTTAGCAACCATTTCTTCCATCAAAGCAATTGATTTTGTAACTCCTGTGAGAAAACAACTGAAACCTAATCCATTCCGACCTTCAGGAATAAACAAATTATCATTTCCATTCTCAATTATGCGAATAAAACCTCCAAACAGATTTGCATCGTAGAGCATGATAATAGACTTATTCAATTCCCACCTAGTTCCAAATTTCCCCGGTAAAATTTTGAGAATGGAATTCTTTAACCAAATAGCTTTAGCTAAATCAAGGTCAATGGCAGATATGATTCCCTTCTTCCTTTCAGATATTCGCATAAGGTTACAATCATTAATAGTAAATTGAAAATTTTTGCTTTCAATTGTAACCTCATACCCAATTTGTGATGGAGAATCTCGAGTTTGAGTTGGGGAAATGGGATGTACATTCTCCACCTCCCAATCACCTCACGTCCTCTGTCTTTGATTATATCTCCAGGCCGGCTGATTTGGAGTACGAAAATGAAGAGAAGCACGATTTTGGGCAAGAGATTGAAATCTGCACTGAGGCCGTTCAATAGTATCCCTGGTGTAGACGTGCTTTCCGATGTCGCTGTGCTGGTAGCCGGAGAAGAAGTCCAAGTATCTTTGCCTCGGAGTCCACCTTTCACCATGAAGCCTGCGGAGATGAGAGCGATTCCAGTAGCTCGACGTTCGGTTTCTGTGATGTTTTTCTGCTGCACGCCATCGGTGACGGAATCCATGTGTGAATTGCGGACGCCCAAATCTGTCCTGATCTTGCCAAGGCTTCGATCGAATGCAGTTCGAGCAATACGGCGATTCCTCTTGTTGAGATGTAAAACCCTCGATCGCACCCCTCATTCCCGGTAATGTCGAGTTCATATTACCCCTCTTCTCCCTAAAATAATTTCCTTTGAACAAACTGCTTTTCAAAAAGGGAAAGAGATACATCTTGATTTTGAGAGAGTTGGTTAAGCACATTCATAAAAAAAAATTAGAGGCCACAACGCTATTTTCAAATTGACATGGTTAAAGCCTTCGATAGGATCTCTTGGCCTTTTATCAAAGTTGTCCTCACCAAGTTTGGTTTTCACCCTATTTTTGTTAATCTAATTAACAACCTTAATGCTACTTGGTTCTCCGTTTTAATTAATGGTGCCGCTACTAGTTTTTTCAACCCTTCTCGTGGGGTTAAATAGGGGGACCCCCCTCTCCCCCATCATCTTTATCATGGTTGCTAAAATTCTCACAAAAAACCTTAACAACTTTTTCTCTCAAAGGCAGTGCATAGCTGACAACACTTACATGAGTATGCCTAATATCACGCACTTAACGTTCGCTGATGACCTCATTGTTTTCTTGAATGTTGGAAAAAAACTTTGGAGCCTCTCCATAAGGTTATAAAGGATTATGAATATTTATCTGGCTAGCTCATTAGCAAAGATAAGAGTTTCTACCTTATCTCTAAGCATGCTAAACCCTATAATTGTAATATTATTGACACTATTTTCCAAATAAAAAAGGCGTATTTCCTTTTACTTATTTGGGAGCCAATATTCACACTGGTCGTACTCTGAATTCCCATTTTGATCATGTTATTGCCAAGATTGACAAAAAACTTGCAGGTTGGAAACACAAGCTCCTCACTGTGGGGGAAGAATTATACTTATCAAGCATGTTCTTAGCTCCCTTCCCCTTTATCACATGGCGGTTTCTCCTTTTCCTAAATCTATTATTTACAATATTGAGATAAAATGTTCTAACTTTCTGTGGGACAGGAAGGACGACCAAAAGAAACATATATGGCGCAGTTGGAATAAATATTGCCATCCGGTAACTGAAAACGGTTTGGGTTTCAGAAATCTTAACCACATCCAAAGTGCTTTCTTTCTTAAATTGTGGTGGAAGTTTAAAAATGGTAAAGGTTTGTGGGCCTCTTGGGTCAATGCTCTCTCTGATCTTTCTCGTTCTGTTAAGTTCAATGCTCTCAATTCTGTTGAGCACATTTTTAGTGCCAACTGTCGTATTCAGGTTCAAAAGGGTAACAAATCATTCCGGTATGATAACTGGTGCGATATAGGTCCTCTTTATTAGTACCTGGAGGACATACATGTGGACTTAGCTAATATTACTATTAAAGATGCCATGTCTGGTAATACCCTTCACCCCCCATGGCCCCATGTTAGTAACTGTCTGTCTAGGTATGCAATTGATAGTATCCATGCTATGAACATCCAATTCACTGACCCTGAGGACAACTATATTTGGCAGCCTTGCTCCGATGGCAATTTCAGTTTTTCTAGTGCCTATGAGGTTATTAGGCCTACAATGACTTTGTTACCTCACGCTAAATACATTTGGACACAATAGAATTCCTAAAAAAAAAAAATCTTTTTCCATGTGGCGTTTAACTAACAATTTGCTGCTTATTGATGATAAATTGACCCAAATTGGAATATTTGGTCCTTTTAAATGTCCCTTGTGCTATAATGCAGACTCTATTGACCATTTCTTCCTTGACTGTAATTTCAGCAGTAGCATCTGGCAGCATTTTGAAATGGTTTTGAACTTTCCACTCTCTAAACATACCACCTTTAGTAAATACATTACTAAATGGTACAAAGGTTATACAAGCCACATAAAGGATTTCAACTACATTGTTCCTAATATTATTACTTGGCATCTTTGGACGATCCGTAATAATTATCTCTATGATGATAAAAAGACCAATTTTTCTTAGGCAATTAAAGCTATTAAAACTAAAAATTTTGTCTTGTCGGTTGCACATCCTCTTATTGCTAGTAGCCCAAATGTCCCTTTTAACATTCACACCATTTTTCCTAAAAAGATGGACCGACCCACTATTAGTTATTGGACCAAACCTCCCCCGACCTACTTCAAGATTAATATTGCGGCTCGCACTCTTACCCCCACCCTTAACCGGACAGCGGCCTTTATTCGGGATGAGAAGGGAAAATATTTTGGTCATGCGACCCACCTGTCTAATAAAACTCATATTACCTTTGCTTTATATGATGTCATTCTTTGTTTTATCCAAATCATTAAGAATTCACACTTGAACAATGTTGTTTTGGAGGTGGATAATAAGGAAGACTATGAGGGCATCATGGGTCTGTCACTCCAACATTGGAAGTATTGGTCCCGAATCCACGACATCAAATGCAGACTTAAGGGTTGCAACTGGACAATTCAACACACTCACCCAAAAATTAATAGTGCTGCTGAGTATTATTTATCTTATCGAAATACTTCGATTAAAACCAATCTTCATCACTTTAATCATTTTGTTGGCATTCTTAAGTTTGATGCAATTAGTTATTTATATGTACTTTGATTTTGAGTAGGCTTGATTTGGTCCTCATACTCTTGTATTTCATTCTATCCTAATAAATTGGTGAGGTGTTCCAAAAAAAACGTGGTATTTAGTACTAGAAATGTGCATTTGGATAGAGAAAGTTGCTAAAATTAATGTTGAGAAAAGGGAAAATTGATAGAGAGCTATGTAGCACTGATACGGGTACGCGGAAACGCGGAAACGGGTACGGGGTATGACAAAACAAAAAAAAAGTAAGGTACGGATACGGAGGCATATTTATAAATATTAAAAGTTATGGGAGTATATTTATAAATATTAAAAGTTACAAAGGTGTATTTATAAATATTGAAAATAATTTTTTTTTTTAACAAATTACTATCTTCTAACATCTACTTATTCATGACATTGAAGCATTTTACATTTTCAAGATACTTAGAAATAAGTTCATATTTTATCTCAAATAGACTTGTGCACCTCAAAATATAAATATAGTCAATAAGTCATTAATTTAAAACTTTTCAAAAAAAGTCATTAATTTAAAAGGAGAAATAAGTCAAACAAGTACAATTTTGAAATTAAAAATGCAACTACTCAAAGTTCTAAAAATAATGAAGATAGAAAACAATATTTTAGAAATTCTAATACATATTTCCGTTGGAGCTATTAATTTTCAGAGAATTAGAATTAGGGATAATAGGATGGATGAAATAGGAATAGGCTCATTAGTTGTGTACCACATAAAAGCAAGATAAAAATTAGGAGTATTTTTAACTTTTCATTTTTTAAGAATTTTATTATGTAAATTTTGAGTGTTTTTTTAAAAAAAAATAATTTGGAAGATATTTTTTTAAAAGTTGATACGGGTATCCGTCAAGATATGAGTATCTGAAATTTTAAAATAATTACCAAAAAATGGAAACTTTTAAAAATTGCAGATACAACCCGGAAACTTACGGTACGAGTAACCTAGAGTATCGGATACATGAACGTTTCCGATAGGTCAATACGACACCCTAGTGAAGTATCCATGCTTCATACCTAGGGAGTATATTTTGCGGTGGGTCATATTTAACAAACCAAACTTGAATATATGTACTGTGTTCAAGAACATTTCGAAGATGAGACGCATGTTTAGAACACCCCATTGGTGTTATTAAATACCAACACTAGTATATAGATTTTCCTTTCCTTTTTTTGAAATCTAAAAACAATAAACATCATAACGCGGATTGTCAAGTCAGGATTGAATGAGTTCTCCAATTTGCCTCTTTGAGAGGTCCTTGCATCTTTTATTTTTCTAATTGGGATTTGATCAATGATGGAAGAAAAGAATAGTGTAGCAAAAAAGAATGAGTCAATTATTGTGATGAGAGGGGGCAATTAATCTGTAGGCCCGATCATCTTTTCCGGAACTACAAGTTCATCAAACGCTTCCGAGGTCAGCATTCCTAAACTAAGAGCAGCTTCCTGCAGTTCAGAAAAAAAAAGGAGCCATTTATTTCATTCTAAGAAGAATCTAAGTGCAAAATATAAAATTTGAGGCGTAGAATGTTCTCATTGCTAGGATAGTAAGTTATCATATGTACTATCAGTCTACCCCCTCCCAAAAAAAAACATCTTTTACAAATGCAAAACTTTTTATTTTGGCAAGGTACAACTCTCAGAAATCGTGATTTATACTTATATGTGGAGTATATGTATAAATTTATTTGTCGTTTAAACTACATTAGTTGTATTTGACATGCCTCTGACTCTTTTTGGGTAACCATTTATCAAATTACATAAAAAACTGCTTTTTGTGGGATGGAGAGAGTTAGGGCCTGTTTACTAACGCAAATATTTTCCTGTTTTCATTTTCTGTTTTCAAGTCTCCAATTTTCTGTTTTCGTTTTCCAGTTTTTTGTTTTCCAAATCAGAAAACATGTTTACCAGAGTTTTTCAATTTTCCATTTCATTTCAATTCCCCGCCATGTACTCGTTACCTAATCAAAGCGGTTTTCCCCATTTTGACCGGTTTGATTTGGTGTGGGTATCCAATGCATCAAAATTCTTAATTGGACCAATGTGATGATGAAGATGTCCTCGGTGATGCTATTATTTTCTCAATTGAACACTCCATTATCTGATTTGGCTTCAACAGCGCACAAATCGCATAAAATTTGCAGAACTCCAATACTAATTCGGGGTTAACAATTTAGATGTGATGTCCAATGATTAATTGAAAGTTTGAAACAAATTTAATAAACAAAAAAACGTGTAAAACGACTTGTTTTAGTCTGGTCTGCATCTAAAGTAAGTCCAAGTACATAGGATACAGATAAACAAAGAAACTTACTTGGGTATCGATAATTCCTTGAACTGCGCACTCCATTCTGCGTCACTCATGCACGAAGTTGAGCAGCCCAATTAATGGGAAGAAATCAGATTGCAGAGCCGAATGGAAAATTGGAAAACGTTCTAGCAGGGACGCCCTGTTTGGTGTATCTGGAGCTTGGTTGATATGGGAAGCTACAGGCTGTAGAGCGTCGGAGAAGAGGTGCGATGTCTTTGGGAAAGCAAGTGTGTGACTTTAAGGAGAACCGGAGAAGGCGATGATAAAGATGTTAGGCAGAAGAGAAGGCTAGCGCAAATAGGGTAGTCGGAAGAAGAAGGCGCGCGACTAAATAGCTACTGTAGCTCCGCGTTTTCTGATTTCAGAAAACGCCTAAAGGTCGTTTTTCTAATTCAGAAGGAATTGGCGAAACATGTTTCTTTTTTTTCTTTTTGGAAAACAGTTAGGTAAACGCGTTTTCTAATTTTTTTATCTCCAGTTTTCCAAATTTTTCCAAAAACATAAAATATTTCTGTTAGTAAACAGGCCCTTATATTTTCATCTAAACAGAAGGGGGAGGGGAGCGCTTAAAAGGAGGTTAAAGATCCAAATGACCTTTAGACTAGTTCCTTGTGTGCTTTTTTAGCAACTGCAGCAGCATTGTCATACCCGATTTTCTGAAAGTAGTACCAACACAAAGTGAATATGAGATTGAGTAATAATAATAATAATGAAAAGAAAACCATACAGTTAACTAGATGGTTTTCTAAAGAAAACCAAAGGGATGAGGGAAGAAGACAATTACCGGGTTCAAACATGTGACAAGCATGAGTGACTGCAAAAATGAAGCAGGAGATGCAGATTAACTAATAAAGCCTTTCATCAAAATGCAAGAGAAAAATAATACAATAGCCCAAAGGCCAAAATTTTGGTTTTCAGCATTTCAACAGAACTAAAGCTGACCTCGTGTAGTAGTTTAGAAATCCTTATTGGCCTGGATTCCCCTCACGCAGTTCTTTTCAAAAGAAGCAGATGCATCTCCAAGCAATCTCACAGACTGAGCATTGATGATAACAGTGAAATTCATTACAGCGCTATTCAGAAACTCATAGACCAAAGGGTACGTGACAGAAGAAAAGATTATGGTAAAACAGTAAATGGTTGTATTGTAAAATAGTACTCCGTAAAACAGTACTTGTGTATGAAAAAATGCTCATAAATAAAATATTATATTTGCTCGAGCACATATTTGAAAAGAAACTCCGCCAACTTGGTTGAATCAACTATTGACCTATTGATAACTTCCTATGGATTGGTAATTAGATCTCTTGTGCAATTACAAACTCTATGTCTCTATCGCCTAAAGAAGTCAAGAAGACAATAAATATATTGGATCATGCCTTGTCTATAGATCATTACCATATGTCTGTTACTAGCACACCTTACGCGGAGTAAAAAGGCGGAAGGTGCTAAGAGTGTAGGATATAACGTGGGACATTTTCCCTTTATATATTTGTATAAGCCTAAAGCACATAGCCAAGTTTTGCACATCAGATTAATAAGAATGAAAAGGAGAATAAGAGAGACTGATCATACATGTAAGAGAGAACTTGCAATCATAGGCTTGAATACATTCAGCTCAAAATGACCATTAGATCCCCCCACCGTGAGGCCCACGTGATTTCCCATAACCTGCAGGGAGAGTTAAGAAGAAAATGACACTAATTTTTTAGAAACAATCAAACAAATACAATACTACGTAGTATTTAACAATGTCATGCCTTCATTGACTAGCATATCACATATTCGACTAGATATTAAAAATTAAGGCCGTGCTACTTGGATTTGAAATCTATATGAACCAGTAAATAAAGCAATTAGGTACCTGAGCACAGACCATCGTGACTCGTGAGAGCCTCACACTGTGTAGGATTTACCTTCCCCTAAAATGTATTAAACTCACATAAGATAAGAATTAAGATAATGAAGTTTTCAAGTATTGTATGTAAGGATGATAATTACAGGCATGATGCTGCTTCCGGGTTCATTTTCGGGAAGAATGAGTTCACCGAGACCACATCGTGGACCACTGCAAACCAAGTAAGGTGTGAAATCACCATAAAATGACACTCTGAAAACAATTTACAATCTCAAATAAGAGTTATACCTTCCTAGAAAACGTATATCATTTGCAATCTTCATGAGGGAAACAGCAATTGTATTTAAAGCGCCACTGCTTTCAACAAATGCATCATGTGCAGCCGGTCAGTAACAGAATAAATTAAGTGCATTATGCGACATAAGTATAATAATTATAAAATAGGTTTACAAGTTAGCATTTAACGCAGAAGCATATATAAAACGTAAAGGTCATTACCAATGCTTCAAACTTATTTTCAGCTGTAACAAATGGCAAATTTGTTTCCTCAGCCACTGCTGCAGCAATTTTCACATCAAACCTGATAAAAGCAAACAAAAACTGTGTATCAAACCCTAAATTCAAAGTGAGATTCAGAGTAAATCTAAATATCTAATATTAACATTTCAAAGAACCACTATGGATGAAGATATGGTTTGTTATTTACAATAGCTCAAAGATGTCCGTCAAATATCAAAGGAAGAAGAGATAGTATAGATGAAAAATATAGACCAACTTCAAACTAAGTAAAGGTGAATACCCTTTTTTTGTATTCAATCCAGTTCCAACTGCAGTTCCTCCTTGTGCAAGCTGCTCAAATGACATTCAAACCAGTTAAAATCACATGGAACTATTAAGTGTGGGAGAAAGATGGAACAAAAGTTGTGAAGGAAAAAGATAATGAGAACCTGATACATGTGTGGAAGGGTGCCAGAAACTCTATTTATTCTATACTTCACCTATCATCAAAAAAAAATTACAAGAATAATCAGATACAAAACCATGAGAACCAAAACTCAAACACTTAACATTTGAAAAAGTTGAAAGCCTTACTTGAGTGGCATGTCTACTAAACTCTTGTCCAAGTGTAAGAGGTGTTGCATCTTGAGTGTGTGTACGCCCAATCTTGATGATGTGATTGAATTCAACAGACTAGTTGAATACAGGGAGGATGGTTAATAAAGTTATCATATGAAGAAATTATTTAACATGAAAAAGCAAGTATTTCACCTTTGAATGTACTGATGTATGCAGTTGTTTCAGGCTTGGCAATAATCTCTTATTAATCTCCACTGCTGCAGCGATATGCATCACCTGTATGTCAATTACAAAGAAGCTATTGACATTACAACTCATGATAACCTTAACAGAACTACAGAAGAGTAGAAGACTACATGTAAATGAGTGTTGCAACATGATACTCACAGTAGGAAATGTGTCGTTGGAAGATTGGGATCTATTAACATGGTCATTTGGGTGTACAGCTTTGGCACCTAATTTATGACCAATAATTTCACCTGCTCTGTTTGCTATAACCTGGACATGTCAAAAATATTTCATCTATTTATAGGTACTGAAAAGTTCTGTCACACACAAATGCCTAACAAACCAGATAGATTGAATCATAGAATGTCACCAAAAGTGGAGTAAGCTCACCATTCCAGGGTTATGTTTATTTACAAAATATTATTAACAATGATATACTCAGATGTGTAAATGCAACTAAGCAACCTGTTTACAATATTTTGAACTTTTCTGTTACAGTCTTACGAAGATTATTGAAAAAGTAAATAGAATGCTTCAAATAGTAGAATGCTTCATGTTTGCAGATTGAAAACAGTTTGAAAAATCGCATAATATGCTCCGTTTTAAATACCTCATTAGCATTCATGTTACTTTGTGTGCCACTACCAGTCTGCCAGATCACCAAAGGAAAATGATCATTTAGCTTTCCGTCAGCAACTTCTTGGGCAGCTTGCATTATTGCCTTCCCTATGGATGGTTCAAGTCCATACTCCATATTCACCTGCAATGTAAGGTAGCCTGTGTAAATCCAAGGAAGCATTAAGGATTACAGTAGTGATTACCAGCTATAATTTAAGGAATGCAATCGTATTGCAGATACCATGTATGCCATTTCTACAGTTACATAATCTTGGCTTCTATATATCCCATCTCTTTTCATTTCTGCCTTGGGAAAAGTAGCTATTAAAAATTCTGACTATAACAAGATGCTTACTTATATATAGTAAAATATATTACGAAGGAAAAACACAGATTTTGCTGGTCCATTGAATTGCTTGGAAAGCATAATGATGACAAACCTTGGCTGCACATTTCTTAAGAACACCAAATGCACGTATAATGGGTTCGGGCATTCTTTCTCTGTCACCACCAATTTCAAAGTTATGTAATGATCTTTGAGTTTGTGCCCCCCATAATCTGTAAATAAATTCAAAATATTAAAATACTAAAATAAAATACTCCGTATATCAAAAAAAATATTCTAGAGAGAGAAAAAGAAAACTGGCTTAAATTGATAATTTGATATTGCAACAAAATCCCAGAGAACAAAAATTGAGCAATTTAGAAGTTGTTTCGCCAATTTTGAGAATGCCATGGTAATGAGGTGCATCTTTACTGAAGTTTCTGTAGTGTGGTAGTACAAATAAACAACGGAACCTAGCTATAGGGTATTAGTTTATGCTTCATTTCCCGCTATTGGGAACTCAAATGATCAAATATTAGAAGTTAGATTGTTCCCCAGCGAACTTTGACTTTTTCAGCAAAAGAGAACTGCTACCAAAGCATAAAAGATGCACTGAAAGTAGACAACACAGAACAATTTAAAAACATTTAAAAGAAGAGAAAAGGCAAGCAAATGGAAAATTAGAGTAAAAACAACGAGGAGACCGGTACAAACTTATCCGATGGGACTTGGATGGGGCCGAAAGTGTCTCTTTCTTCTCGGAACGAAGTTGAGAAATATCTGCAGCTCGTCGTATACCGCAGCGACTCCGAGGAAACGGGACGCGTGGATCCACTCGCCAATCGACGAGCAGCGATCAGCATAGCCATATCTTTCCTCTGTTCGTTGTAGTTAAAAAAGCATCCGTGAGATTAATCGAAAAGGAAAAGCTTCAAATGAAAGAAGAAATGGGAATGAAGGGATACTTACAGAGTACCGCTTAGCAACCAACCGGCGATGAATGCCGCCACAGCCGCCGATCTAGAACAGCCACGGAGTAAAATGACCAATTAGCACTCAGCTGGGTAGAAATAACTTTCCGTACAATTCCAGCTTGGTGGGGAAAGCGCGCCGGGATGACCGGTAAACCGCTGCCATGTGTCATAACGAAGCCCACTGCGCATAAAGCCCATGACACTTGTTATGTTGGTCTACTCCTTTAATGAGGTCCAAGGGGAAGTTCTATTCACGGCCCTAATTTTACTAAACACAGTCCCCAAATTAATTGAATATCTAATTTGCCCTTTTAGAATATACGAAGTAAATCAAAACACGCGGACACAGGCGCACATCAGTGATCAGTCCTTTAGATTGTTTTTGTTCAAAGAGACATTCCACTAAGTAAGATAATAATATATACATAAAGGAAAATAATTTGATCAAAGCCACAACTTTCCAGATCGGTTAAGAAATACTCCGTTTGAGAGTTGGGAGACGTTGAGCTGGGAGACCAAGGCCAGCCGCCAGCGGCTGAGACCTACCAAATCGGAGGTGTGGTTAAATCTCACCCTTTGCTATTTTTGGGCGCAGAGGAAGGTTGTCCTCGATCAAATGTCAAACTCTCCGAGGCAGCGTAGTATATGGCCGTCGACTTGTCGTTGTAGATCATGATTCCGCCAGTGTCATTTTTGTTATGTGGGTTACACGCCACGCGTTGGCGGCGCGGCACCTCCGCACAACATCTCGTGGTACATGTGGAAAGGAATGGGTTTCTTTGGTGTAGAAGATGGCCTTTTTTAATTAGGGAGTGATCGGCTTTAGCGTCGTGGAGGAACAAGTGGTCACGGCTGAAGATGGCCTTCCGAAAGGAGAGTCTCAAGGAAAACAGATGTGTTGTAAAGTTGTAATAAGGGTACTATAGGTATTACCAAAATAATGGGCTGCACTTAGTAAATATGTGTTTGTATTTAGAATTACCCGTCCACTTTTAGACTTGTGACCCGCTCCAAGTACTATTACCCAGGCGCCCGAGTGGTCTGGTTCTAGTCCCGGTCCGAATCTGGTCCCGAATTTTCTCTTCGTGTTTCCAAGTAGGGGAGAGCAAACCCGACCCTACCCTATTGACTCGATCGGATACATCCGATTTTATTTTTTGGGTCGGATCCCGACCCGAATGACCCAAATCTGATCCGATTTTTGCAACACGAGAGTTAAGCGGGTAGCGGGTAGGGTTACTAATTATGCTACCCGACCCGCCCGAAAACCCGAACTAGGGTAGTATATATACTACTTTGAATTATTATGCATGTTCAAATATCTCAATTATTGTATGCCAATTACCATATTATACATATTCAAGTATTCCAATTGTCGTATTTGTAAAACTATAACTTTGAATGTTGTATTGTTATGATTTTGAATGATATTTTGACCAATTATCATTTTATTTATCACAATATCAAATATGTCAATCACCGTATATTATTTGACCCAAAAAATAGTTCACAATTCCCTTTTTGGAAAGTTTTGTGTAACTCACATTCATTTACTTTTTTCTTACTCAACTAGAACCATACATTTCCATTTTATTCTTACTTTCTTAAACTCCGATCCAAGTCAATGTGGAGACTATTTTATGGGACTAAGGGAGTACTAAAGTAGATGTTTCAAATAACCAAAATCTTCAATTTGACAAACAATTGATATAGTTTTGCAATGTATTATAAATTATAAATTAATATACACTATTATAATATAATTTTTCTCTTAATATACAATTATTGATTGCACTACATAAAAAATAAATAATTTACATTTGCAACTTCAAATATTTTAATGGCATGCATTACTTGCACCAGTGATTTACAAGTAATATTATTAACATTTCTTATTATAAAAGTGAAATCTTAACCATACAAAAATTCTTTAAAATGTGTATAATTTTCGGGCGAAATGAAAAGTTATTTATTAATGTTTTTGTTGACTAATAGCTCATTATTTATAGCCTGTTTTTAGAATATTGTGTTTACATTGCAAAATTCCCCCTAAAAATATTTTCTGGATACACCAATGTTGATAATATGTTATAGTAGAAGAAACATTTGAGTTTTTTTTTTGAAAGCATCTATGCCGCTAATCCATTGTATAGAATATGACTTTTTTTATTAATGAACGAGAGAATATCTATTTGCAGTCATATTTACACTCTCATCTGTCAAAGTAACGAAAAGAGATAAATTATGATATGATATCTAATAAACTCATAGTTAATACTCCCTCTGTCCCAGAATTAACTTCGGTTTTGACTGGGCACGGAGATTAAGAAAGTGGGAAATATGTGGTGGAGAGTTGTGCAGAGGTGAGAGAAATGTGTAAGAATGATTGTGAACCACAAATCCTTTGCTAAAAAGGAAAAGAGGAGATAAATTTGGGACGGACCAAAAGGAAAGAGTGAAGATAATTATGGGACGGAGGGAGTATATACAGAAGACTTGAGTATTTGGTGCATAAAAAGTTATTATAGCGAATGAAACTTTCAAATTATCATGGGATTCGAGTCGTAGACCGTTGTACTCAACAACTTCCTTATCATTAGTTGGGTTACACACATCGTTCTAAAAGGTGCCAAAATATCGAGTCTGGGCATGAGGCAGCGGGATAAAGCCTAACATAACAAAAAAGTGTGGAAAAGACGGGGAACTAAGGCCCTGTTTACTTAGGACTTAATGAACTGAATGGAAAGAGTGACTTATTCGCTTAGTCAATAAGTCGTGTTTACTTACGACTTAATGAAAAACTTGACTTATTCGCTCAGACGAAATATGGCTTAATAGTTCAGCCGGATAATGACACTCCTTAGCTAACAGACGCGTTATTGGCTTTTTTAACCCTAGCTCTTTCTACTCGTGAGGCATCCAACAGCGTAAGATCAACGAGGAGCACTCCATCTTCATCAAATTAAAAAGAGCAGCGGTTCATCTTCTTCAGGGAAATATCCTCCCTGAGTTGCTTGATCTTCCTCTCTACCAGTTTGGGGGTTGCGGCGCCGTTCTCCGAGGTATCCACCGCCGGTGACCTTGTTCCTTTCTAGTACTTTTTTTATTCCGCTGTTTTGTTTAATGAATGATTCCTGTTTACTTCGATCTTAGTAATTACAGAAGCTTAACAAGTAGCGCTACATCTTTAAAACAAGAAGCTTTTTCTCTATTTCAGGTTCTTCATCTAGCTATTTCCTTAGATTTATTTGTAATTCTCTATGTTCATTTACAGATTAATTTTCTAATTTTAATATCCATCGGTTCTCATCATTTGCTTCTCCTACTTCATGTGGCCTTTAGCTATTGTCTTCTATAACCAAATCTCCCAACTTTTAATGAAACACAAAATGAAATCTGAAGATTGAATCCTTATTTCCCCCTATTTTAGGTGTGTGCTGATTCAATTAAATGGTTAAAACCGTGTGTGGAATCAATTAATTGAGCTTATGTGAAACTTAAATTTATATTGATTTCCCCCTGTTTATAATTGAAACCGTGTGTGGATTCAATCTGGGTTTTTTCTTTCATAGTAATCTGTTTATTTAATCTTTTTTTCATTTGTGTAACAGTTTTTTTTACTGATTTATTCAACACTAGGCAGGTTGGTTTTGTAAAAAGTGTTCTGCACATTTTCTTGAAGTTTAGTTGAAGTTCTCTGTTTTATGTTGCTGCTATTTTCTTGAAATAAACAGTTTTTTTCATGATTTTAGTTGTGTTTGTTTTTTAAGTTTTGTTCCTGCACATTTTCTTGACCTTTAGTTGAAGTTTTCTGTATTATGTTGCTAGTTTTTCATTGTATTATGTTGCTTGAAGTTTAGATGAAGTTTAGTTCGTACATGTGGATTACTAGTGCACACTTTTCTATTTTCTTGAAGTTTAGTTCCTTCAAGTTTTTCTAACATATTGTTGCATCTATTGAGAAGATTTCCTGGAATTTGGGGGCATTATTTTCCTACATTATTGTGATCTCATGGCTAGGACACTGCTGCTGAACAGAAACTTCTTGACTGTTAAGAAAACTATTCCACTTATGTGATCTTTCTGCTACCTCTTCCTAAACCAAACAAATGGAATCATTTAAACATTAAAGCATACTACATCATGAAAGCATCGTATAATTGGTAGATCTGTTCCTTAACTTCCTTTTTATCAGAATAAAGAAATGAATATTTTCCATGATTTTTCTCATTCTTAATGTTTTCCATCATATATGGACTCTTTCATGCGATATCTTTGAAGTTTTTGTTCAGCAGCAGCAGTGTCCAGATTTTTTGCACTTGTTTTGCACAACGCAACAGGTAGATGTTTTACATAGTTTAGCACTCTGTGAATTATTGGGACATACATATTTCATTCTTTAGGTATGGAACACGCTGGTGAATCAGAAAAGCAAAAAAAATCAAGGATAAGTTGGAAAAATATCAATGTGGTGAAAACATTTCTTGAGACTTGTATACATGAGATTTCTGTAAACGGGCGGGAAGGTAGTAGTCTGAAAGCACTTTCGTGGAAGAAAGTTGCTGACGTTTTGAAGGGGACTCATAACTTTTCTGTTGACCGAAAGCAAATGAAAAATCATTACGATTATCTTAAAGGAAAATATGGAGCCTGGTTACTACTCAAAAATAAAACAGGCAATGTGTATGATCCGTCCACCAACACATTTAATCTTACGCCCGAGGAATGGGAGATTGAAATTAAGGTATTTTTCTCCTAATGGACACCTCTATTTATTTCGTTGTTCATTTCTTTCCTATAATTTACATTTTTGTAACACAGAAAAATAAGTACATTGAAACTTTGAGGACTACATCGCTTCCATTTCCTGAACTTTGTGCACAACTATTTGATGGGTCTGTTGCAACGGGCGTTGACAGTTGGGGACCAACTTCAGTTGAACCTATCCCACATGGACATACTTCATCTGATGGTCCAATTGTGGTTGAAGAAGAAGTGGAATTTCAAGGTGCACAAGCTATGTCTACATCAACAGGTCAATGTTCAAGCCATAAGCAATCTAAAAAACTCAAAAGTAAGGGCAAACAAGCAAATTCAGCCATTGATGAAGAATTTTTGAACGTGATTCGCTTAGTTGCTTCAAAGCATGGGAAGCCCGAAGCACCTTCGAAACCTGAACCACCAACTTTTGATGACTGCATGAATAAACTAAAAATGCTTGGATGGGAAGAAGATGACCCATTCTACGGAGTTGCCCTCGCAATTTTTTGTGATCCAAATGATCTTTATCGCGAAGCATGGATGAAAATTGATGCAAATCTCCTTCCAAATTGGGTCAAAATGATTGGGAAGAAATTAGGGTTTATGTAGGTTGTTAATTTCTTGTGTGTTTGTTTAAACGTATTTTGGACTACATTTGGTATTTATGACTCTTGTTTGTTTTTTGGATGAATTATGACTCTTGTTTGTATTTTTATGGGATTGCTATTGTATGTTTTTGTGACACTTGCTAGATTTTGTGACATCTAAGAATAGAATGTTTATTTATAAATATCTAATTTGTACTTTTTTTGCAAGGTTAATATGGATCTTGAGGCGCAACTACTAATCCTAATGCTTGTGTATTATTATGTGAGGCGAAGAAGTTCTACTCTAAGAATGAAAAGAATACGAGATAACACTTCTGCATTAACCGGACATGCTTACACACAAGAGTTACTAGATGGTTCTAATACACAATGTGTGGAATTAATGCGTGTTTCTCATGCTGGGTATGTACTATTATGCAACCATTTTAGACAAAGAAAATGGTTGAGTGATAGTAAGCATATAAGTGTTGAGGAAAAGATGGCGATATTTTTGACAACTATCGGAAATAATCAGAGGTTTAGAGTGAATAAAAGGAGATTCCAACACTCCACACGATCTGTTCACAAATGCTTTCATGAAGTTCTACAAGGAATGATGGAATTTGCAAAAGAAATGATAGTACCAACAACGCCTGATTCAGTCCTAAATTTGTCAAACCGGCAAAGACGTTTGAGAGAGATTTTTCCGGTATGTTTTCATTTTACATTCGATTCATAGTTATGTTTAAAAATTATGTGTCAAATATTTTCATTATGTTATGAAGGGAGCGATTGGAGAACTAGATGGAACTCTTGTACACGCAAGAGTGTCTGCTGAAAAGCAAACTATTTATAGAGGAAGAGGAGGGGGTCGGTGTTATCAAAACGTTTTAGGAATTTGTGATTTCAATATGATATTCACTTTTGTTTGGGCTGGTTGGGAAGGAATAGCACATGATTCTCGAGTACTAACACAAGTTGTATTTAATCCTAATTCTGGCTTTCCACTTCCTCCACAAGGTGCGTATCATTATTTATTCTGTCACTAAATGATTTTAATTAAAATTAAAAAAATTAACACTCGAATTTGTTACAGATAAATATTATCTATGTGATGCTGCATATGCAAACACTCGTGGATTTTTAGCTCCATATCGTAACACAAGGTACTGGTTAGCAGATTATCGACGTCGTCGTGCATTGACTAAAGAAGAAAGATTCAATCATGCGCATGCACAACTCCGGAATGTGATTGAACGTACATATGGTGTCTTGAAAGCAAGGTTTCCAATCTTAGATCAAATGGCTCCTTATCCATTTGCGATACAAAGGAATGTGGTGATTGCTTGTTTTGCCGTTCATAATTTTATTAGAAAGTCCAACATTGATGATGACTTTTTTAAAGAATGGGAAGATGACACTATAAGCAACAATGAAGCACAAGAGGAACCTGAGGATATTGGAGAAGAAGTGCATGCAGCACAATGGGGCACCCAAAGTTTACAGTATATGACGAATTTGCGGAATGAAATCGCTAATAGACTAGCAGGAAACGTTTAAATTTAAAGTGTTGTTCTCATTAAGACAAATGACTTTTTCTTATCACGTAATGCCACTTTTTTATTTTAATAATTCATAGCATTATTATTCTCAGGCATCTGAAATTATGTTTCAGAACAGAGAAAGTAAACAGACAATATACATTCAGCACTTGTTCCAGACAGAAGGGTTATTTGGTCATTTAACGTGATTCAGACTTCTCATTCAGCACACTTAGTAAACAGTTTGTTATACCACTGTCACTTAATCCAGACAGACAGCTTAATGCAGACAGACATCTTAATCCATTCAGGACTTAATGCAAAAAAAAGTAAACAGCCCCTAAGGCCCTGTTTACTTAGGACTTAATGAACTGAATGGAAAGAGTGACTTATTCGCTTATGTTAGGCCCCTCAGACTTTGATGAAATATAGTTTTGATGATGCCATCCTCCCTTGATGTTTAAATTCTCTATTCGATATTGAATGATCATTGTGTGAACTGAAATATGGTCCAAAAAGGAAGGAAGGTGACAAAATTAGGAATATATAAATTGTGTCACAAAATAAATATACTGGAAATATAAAATGCAATAAGGTAAATTCCTACCTTTCCAGGATATTCAAATCCAATCAGTATATTTATTTTTGGGTTACAATTTTATTATTGTCACTAGTAAAATTGTGACTAATCTTACATGTACATCTTATGTACAAAATTAATTTTACTGGAAATATAAAATGCAATAAGGTAAATTCTTCTTTACCTTAAAAAGGATATTTAAATCCTACCAGTACAAATTAATTTTGTACACAAGAACCAGAGTCACAAATTTTACTTAAAGAGCTGTATAATCACGAGACACTCCAGAGTTGCCTGTGAAGACAAAATCCCACTAGATGGTGAATAGTGCGCAAAAGGTCTAAGGAATGGGTTTACATTTCCTGCAAAGCAAGTTGCTCCAATTGCGTCTGAAGATAAGCTGCTCCAACACAAGAAGACGAAAGTACAAGAAGCCTCAACGAAATAGATTAAATCCTCTCAACCAACGGAGGAGATTAATCAACCAGAGATGCCTATAAATTTGGGCATAAGCATGAGAAGAAAAATAAGCTCCTGAGTTCACTAAGCAGAGAAATCATACTACACAAAGAAGATATCTAGCAAAAAGAGAAAGGGCTCATTACATTCTGCTCTCTGCTTAGACTCATGCTTCACTAAACCTTCTAGAAAAGAAATCCTCATTGATACACTCAGAAAGTTTAGTTTTTAGTTGGAGGCTAGAAATTTGTTTCATATTGAAACTGTTGTAAACACTTCTAAGGATAGCATCGACTAAGTCCTTAAGTGTGGTAGAATAGGACAGAGTACCTTTTGATCCCCACTGGATCAATCGAGAAAAACCTAAAGGATTGAGTAACTAGGAGTGGTGTGTACTCTCAGTGAAACATCTTGAAGTCTGAGCAAGTTGGTGATAACAGCCAGACGGTCACTAATTGTATTGGGCTGAATACTTTAGTGGAAATCCATCTGAAAGAGGATGGGACTGGATGTAGGAGGATTACACCACCTCTGAACCAGGATACATCTCGTGTCAATCTTATTTACTCTGATCATCAAAGGACCTCACACAAGAGTCTCTGACTAAAGATCATCAGAGTACCTCACTCAAGAGTCTCTGATTCAAGATCATCAGAGTACCTCACTCAAGAGTCTCTGATTCAAGATCATCAGAGGACCTCACACAAGGGTCTCTGATTCAAGTTCATCAGAGGACCTCATACAAGGGTCTCTGACTCTAAGTCATCAGAGGACCTCACTCAAGGGTCTCTGACTCAAGGTTGCCAGAGGACCTCACTCAAGGATCTCTGATTCAAGGCCATCAGAGGATCTCACTGAAAGATCTTCAAAGCAGAGTCTCCATTCTCCTATTCACTTCAGTCACTAAAGATAAGTTGTCCTAAATACAAATACCCCTTCCCTCTTATCCTCTCATAAGAAAGTTACCATTCACAGTCAAAAAGAGGTCATAACTTCCGCTGCGATCCTAAATCTCTCAAAAAGATTATAGATCATCATACCTATGAGGGAAACTCTTCAAAAATAGGAAAGGACTTTAAAAGTCTATTCACCCCCCCTCTAGACTTTTACCTCTATCAGGGACCATCAAGTGGTATCAGAGCAGGTGTTCCTAGAGTCAGTTTCTGACTAAGTTTGAACTAAAAATCCAAAACTCACTCGAATCCCAAAATCTTCAAGAATGGACAACCAACTTTCAAAAAATCTCCTGTTCAACTTCAACAAATTTGATGACTGGAAAATCAGAATGAAAGCTCATCTGAGTGCTTTACATGATGAAATGCTAGAAGTCATCACTGATGGACCCATCAAAATCATGAAGGTCATCACATCCAGAACCACTGAAGGAACAGATGATATGTACATTCCAAAACCAAAAATGGAATGGACAACTGAAGACAGGAAGAGAAACAACCTAGACAATGTTGCCAGAGACATCCTCTTCAAAGCCGTTGATGAATCCATATTTCCAAGGATAAGGAAATGTGAGACTGCCAAAGACGTATGGGATGAGTTAACAAAGATTGGAACTGGCGATGAACAAGAAAAAGACAACAAACTAACTATTGCTCTCAAGAAGTTTGAAGATTTCAGAATGTTGTCAAATGAATCCATTCATGATATGGAATCCAGATTTCTTAAAATTATTGCAGAGGTCTCTGATCTTGGGAAAACTCTCTCTCAAAAAGAGATCTCTCTTAAAATTTTAAGAGGACTACCATCAAGATGGGATATGAAGGTAACTGCCATGAGAGATAGCAGAGATCTCAGAAGTCTTTCAACGGATAAGCTCTTTAGTGATTTAAAAGCTTATGAGTTTGAAATGAAAGAGATAAAGGATGAAAAGGAGGAAGAGATCAAGACACTGGCCTTAGTGTCTGAACCTGGCACATCAAGATCAACAGAAAAATCACTCAACAATCTCTTCACTGATGAACAATTTGCAATGTTTGTAAGAAAATTCAAAAGGTTCATAAAGAAAGAAGGGTCATCCCCAAAGAAGCCATTTCCTCAACAATCCAGAAGATACAAATCAAGTGAGAATACTATTCTTTGCTACAACTGTAGACAGCCAGGACACTACAAAAATGAGTGCCCTCTCCCATTGGCACACAAATATCAAGGACATCAGAATGCTACTCACAAAGCAGGATTCAAAAACTTCAAAGGCAAACATCAAGCCTTTGTAAGTGAGAAAAAGAATGAAGAATCCCAAAATGATGAAAGCAGCTCAAGTAATGAAAGCTCTTCATCAGAAGACTCTGAAGAAGCACTACTCTGTCTAGGAGTCTGGCCAGATGCTAAGGATACAAGCAGCAGTTCATCTCAGGATAACTCACTCAAATGTCTCATGGCAGATAACCACGACAAGGATGTAGAGGTAACCTCCTGTTCTTCCTATTGCTCAAATGATTCTGGACCATCTAGTATTACACTAGAATCTTTACTTCAAGATTTTCAGAAGGTCCAAAATCATCATGTTCTCTTAAGATCTGAAAATGAAAGACTAAAACAAGACACTAAGAATATTCATGATA